ATGTCACACAAAACAGACATGCCTTTCTTTCAGCAGAAATTCAATAACATTTGATGTATATTTATGCTAACATGGAAAGAAAAAAGAAAACTGGAAATGCCTTAGAAAATATTTTCGGTGATGACAACTAATAAAATGGTTGTTATTATTTAACTATATTATAATGATGAAATCACATCGAAAAATTCACAGAGAGGTTTACCAGTAGCATTTCAGTAATGACATTTCATTTCATGCCATTCGCACTTTGATGAAACTGAACTCATCAAGAACAAGTTGAACAAGTTAATTTGTTTTTTATATTTTGTTGGCCCTTGTCAACTGCATGCTACTTAAAACAATTTGAATATGGCGATATACACAAGATTCACATGCTTTAGGTAGTGAGCATCAAGATGAAAGATTAAATGGTGTTCTTGTGCATAATAGTATGTAATACAAATAATTACAATGATATTCCTAATTTAGGAGCAGATTGATGGCGAAATGACTACAGTTAGAGAGCCATTGAAAACTAGGGAGAACTGGACATCCGTTTTGTCCTTGTTTGGGATTCTTCAATAGTACATCTCCTGAGGCCGAAACCGGGACCTTCATGTTAAGAGAAAAGCTTGGTGACCATCTAGCCAGTGAGATGGAATCTACTAATTCATCATTTCTAACTTCTGCTGATCTATGACACATATATAGAGCGACCTCCAGCCCCTGTCAGTCGCGACTATTTGCACTGAGACTCAGCTTATTGAGCACAGCTAGTCACAAATTCCCATTAGAACCTCAGGCGACTTCATTCCGTAGTTAGTCACCAGTAAGCACTGAATAACTTATCAAGTGTTGTCCCATTCTCCCTTGTTCCAAGTGATTTTCTCACTGAAGACAGTTCGTTATCAATCTTGAAATCAATGGAATCTCTGAAAATCGGCACCTTTAAATTAGGAGGGGAAGTTGGGAATTGATTGCAGGCATAAAAATGACTACTTTACGTAAGAGTTACCTAATTTATTTCAGTAGAAGTCAAAGGAGAATCAAATCAACAATATGGATAAAAAAATAAACGTAAAAATTTAATTCAACTGAAATACACCAAGAATATTCATTCAGACATTTAGAAGACAAAAGAAAATTTCAGCAAAGAATTTTTTTCTCGATAATATCCTCTTCTTGCTCTACATTTTTATAAACGTATATTTATAGACACAGAATATTTCAGAATTGTTGCTGTTTTTAAATACCATCTATTTGTTAAGACTGCAATGGAATTACCACAGTTAAAGAATAATGCATAATTTATGATAAGCATAAAAATGCAATAGCAAACAGAATATCAAATGAAATTTCCACAAAAAAATATAGATCAATAAAGCCTTGATGGCCACTGTAAGGACAGTGTTTGAACCAACTTCTTTTAGATACATAAGTTAAGTTTCTTGATGTGGATCCCAACTGCCTCAGCAACATGCAGTAGACGAACTCTTAGGAAAATTAAGATTAGTTGGTATGCAGTAGACGACTTTGAAAGCCTTGTTAACATCAATCTTGTGTTCTGTATCCACGAGATGAGATAGAAAAGAGCTATGAATGAATTTTGTTTCTCCCTTACTTAACCACTATGCAGGATGGTGTTTGGAAATCCTACGATAAACACGCCTGATTGTACGACCTATGTAACTGGCTTCACAGGAGCAGTCATATTGGTAGATACATATAGATGAGGCGAAATTAGGCAGTTTATCCGTAACTCCCGGGCGGGAAATGGGGGTAATTTCGAAGACACAGCATAATTCAGCAACACTGAATGCTCTCTTTGCCGCCGTATTCTTTAGGCGTTGTGTTAATATCTTTTTGATGTTATCCCCGAGGAACTGAAGTTGTAAGAACAAAGCCTTCCTTCTTCGGAAGTGGTGACATTTTGGCCTGCCTTGATTTTTGATTCATATTCTTACCGATGAATTTTTCTGGATAACCGTTTTCCACTCAGCGGCTGTTTAGTAATATTAAGGTTTTCATTAAGACATTCATCAGAGCAGATTGCTTTTGTTCTGTGGACTAAGCATTTTATTAGATTGCGTTGGTATTTCGAAGGCACGAAGCTGAAAAAATTAGTATACTGACAGTCTGTTGATGTAGGTTTTCTACTGACACTGCTTCTCATTGTGCCGTCCTCTTTTCTAGTCATAAGAACGTCTAGGAATGAAATACTTTCTCGATGGTAAAATTTGTGGTAGGGTAAACATCGTTAAATTTATCCAGGATGTTCTTTGCTTCATCCTCGTTTTTGATAATCAAAAATGTAACATCCATGTACCAACAGTAGAATTCTAGTTCACCAATCACATCTTTCAAAGCCTCATCCTCTAGTTTCGAAAGGAAAATGTCGGCTAGAATGGGTCCCAGTGGTTACCCCATTGTTAGAACATCCATTTATTTGTATAATTGCTTATTGAATAAATATAAACTTTCAATGTGCATTTCAAAAGAATCTTTTTTATCGTAGATAGAGTAATTTCGACATTGATATTTCGTCTTATGACTTCTTCGCACACAAAGTCTACTGTTTCCATAAGTGGTACATTGGTGAATAAGGAAGATATGTCAAGTGATATCATGAATTTATTGTCAACATGTAAGTCCTTTCTCCTTCCAACAAATCCAAAGGTGTCTTTACGCTGTGTTTCACCAATTTGTTATGTAGAGCCTGTAGAAGTTTAACAAACTATTTTGCTATGGAATGGTATGGTGGATTTAACATGTCTGGTACTGGTTGAAGAGGTGCACTTTTGGCGAACCAAATAATCTTGGTTTATCTTCCCAGTGGGTTTCGGTGATGTACACCGCCTTTGTGAGATAAACACTTGTTGTTTCAGTCTTCTCAACGTCTCAGGTAACTGTTTGTCTATCTTTTCAATCTGATCCAGAGAAGATGAGATATTTTGGAATGTTAGACTGATTAAGAATGGTATTCAACTTCTTGAATTAATCCGTTTTGTTCATGATAACCACCGCTGGAACTTTATCAGGTCATCTTATTACTATGTTATCATTTTTCTGCAGAATATCTAGGGCTTGCTTGTACGAGTTGTGTTTACTATTCATATAATCATAGCAACAATAGCCCAGAGTTGAGTTAAGCCTTTCAACAGGTTCAGTTGATGAGGGTATTAATCCTTCGATTTGAGTATAGAAGCTTTCAAACTGAACTTGTGAATCCAAAACGTAAAAATTAAAACAAAAGGACTGAGTGAAGAAATATTTACTTTTCAATTAGATCCTCATCTCTGGCTCTACTCAAATATACATATATATATATATATATATATATGAATGTTCATTGAAGGCATTGGTTGAGAATAGCACAATATGACGAATTGACAGAAGCTAGAAATCAGGCGTCACTGAATTCCAGACAATAGTAACTGAATGCTAAAACATCTTGGCATCATAACCCTATGTCGTGAGTGCACATTTTTGGACAGTCCCACTCTCGGACGAAACAACCTCTCAGTGCTCCCTGATTTTTTACTGATCTCGAAATGATGTTGGATAGTGACGATGAAAATAAAAACAAACGAAATGTGAACAAAATGACTTTTCAACTCATACTGCTTTGTGAAGTTCCTTTTACATCTGGTAAACATGCTTCCTTTCCTTACGATAAAATCTAAAGATAACAAAAACACAACCCATGGAATAGAACAAATCAAATTAAATCTTATCACCACAAATAATCTCATTCAAACGATGGGGTAAAAACAGCCTAGGAAATACACTTTTTTGCTTCCCAATGTTTCTAGACAAAAATTTATTGATGAAAATTACACGTCTTTTTTCCCACATTGTGTCAATAGGATCAAACATAATAAAATACGAAGGTATGCACACATATTTATTTTTTTGCTCCTTAAAGATGGTGATCATTTCTATGGTAAGTATACGATCTCATAAGTATACAGTGTTTTCCCAGTAAACGTTAAAATGAAGCAATAATCAGACTGTTAGATTTAAACACACGTACATTTATACAAAGTCAGATTGTACTAAAACAGAAAATCAGTCATGTGATTGATTGCATGCTGTGATCTTTATGAGAATGTCGGAACGGTAACAACACTAACAGCATTTGCCAATGTCTATGATTTACGAAGCATTCAGTACACTCACTTTATGCGTGTGTGTGTATGTGTATGTGTGCGTAGCTTAACAACAGATCACACATACAAAGCGTCCTGGATTTTCATAAATAGATTAAAAATGTCACTTATACGAAAGTGCAAACATACGTGTCTGTCTATCTACTTATGCATGTAATTATATCCAATGCTCCTTTTTTCTGTAAATAAGAAAAAAGACACACCAAAACCAATTGAATATTACTTCTGTGTCTCTATCTATCTGCCTACCCTAACAACGTGCCTTATCCCTTGTATGAAACATCGAAACATCATAGATAGACGCACAAACATGATTTGTTTCATTTAATCATATCACACACACACACACACACACACATAGACTGTCTGCTAACGCCCGATCTTCTGATATTAGTGGGCAAAACATTGAGGAATAATAAGTAACAACAATAATAATTACAGGTACATCTGTGGAACAATTAATATACCGTCACGTTTCTGTTTCATCATGTACAAATAGAACAGTAATAAGTGTGATAACCACTACGAAACAGGAATTGTTTTAATGTCTATATCCAAAACACATCTGTAAATAAAACAAATATTAAATACATGTATGTGAATTGAAAATATGCTCAAGCTGGTTAACGGAGGATATTCATTGGGAGATTTAGTATCACTGTCTTAATGTAATATCTTATGAAGTTAAATCCATCTACAGAAGACCTACTTTATACATCAAACGTAAAAATTCACGCAAAACTAAACTAATCACAAAATTATTCTAAAAATTCTCATTAAAAACATTTTTGTGTACATATATCATCAAAACGAATTGAAATTGTTGAATATATATATTGTGTTGCAAACTAAATGTCGGGTGATACAGAGGCTACATTTATTCTATCCTTAGACGATGATGATTCAACAATAGAAGCACAAATCAATGCTACAAAAACAACAGACGAGACAACAGTTGAATTCTCTATATCAATTACTGATGATGCTGTTGAAGCGAAAGGTGAAACAATGTCATTAGAGGAACAATTAGCATGGTGTAAGTTCTTGCTGTATTTGCTTATAGATGAATTGATGCTTAAGTGTATGTATGTGTGTATGTATCTCAAAGTCTATCAAAGTGAATATTGTATCTACATCAGTTTTCGAGTTTATACCTGGGGCATGATGTCACTCACAGATCGCCTTAGCGTATGTCGCCTAGCTTAATAGCGGTCCCAAACCCGAAGAAAATAGCAAGATTTGACGTGAGGCTATCGATCCTATCCGGATAAATCAAGCCAATCGCTACAAAAACATCAGAGCACATAAAATATGTCTCTATGATCACTTCAATATTCATCCCACCTACAGTGAAGTCAATGAACCGGCTAATACCGATCACTATGTTCAGTTAGGTTTATGATGACTTAAAATCACTGAAAATATGATGTCAAGTTACTCACTGAAGTAAATCATCCACTCGACCAAGTTAAGTTAGAAAAAAGGCATTCTAATGGAGACTTCGTCGTAAAACAACGTCGTCGATTGACCGTAATCTCTCATCTCTTCCTTGCACTGACGACTCACTCATCGATTCCCATCGGGGTTCCACTCGAGCAACGGCCTGCATTGGGAGCGACGTCATTCGATGGCCTTCTCAATGTATGCCCAATCCATTTCCATTTTCTCCTACATATTTGTTGAGCGATTGGTTCTTGGTTGGTTTGTTCCCACAGTTTCTTGTTAATTATTCTTTCTGGTCAGCCATTTGATCTTCAGTATGGAGCGAAGGTAGCTGTTGATGGAAGTCTGTACTGGCCTGTTGAAAATACTTTTCATGACATGCAGTGCAAGTTTCTGACACGTATACAAGGACTGACTTGACATTGCTGTTGAAAATCCGAATTTTCTTCCTTATGCTGAGTGCAGAAGATCTCCAAACTTGTTTCAGATTGATGGAGGAGTATCTTGTCTTTCCGATTTTGGCTGCCTTTGACAGCTTCATTCGTTCTGCCTGTGGTTGAAACGGTGCTTCCTATGTAAGTGAAGGAAGTAACCTCTGTTAAATCCCCCCGTTGATGATGGTCGGTGCTGTTGGTTGGTTTTCTTCATCACCTCCGTCTTCTCTATGTTTACCTGCAATTCTGTCTTCGCCGGCTGCTTCTTCAGCCAGTTCGTTGGTTTTCACCTGCAAGTCTTCGAGTTGTGTGACATTAAACATAAATCATCTGCGAAATCCAGATCTTCTAGAGTCTTCTTATCGGTCCAATGAATTTCTGTCTTCCTACTCCTCACAGTCTGACGCATAATCCACCACAATTAGGAATGTTATCGGTGACATTAGGCAGCCTTATCTTACTCCTGTATTAACTTCGAACGCCTCGCCGAGCTTTTCGTTGTGGATCACCTGACAAGTGGCACTGTCATGTAGACAACTGTTGAATGAGGTTGATGAAGACTTGGGGCACGCAGTAATGTTGAAGCAGTTTCCAAATTACTTCTCAATCAACGCTGTCGAAGGCGTTTTTGAAGGAGATGAAGTTAAGATAGGGGTTTGACTACCACTCTATGCTTTGTTCGGCGATGACGATGCGTAGAGTTGCAATATGATCAGCACATGATTTGCCTTTCCTGAGTCAGGCTTGTTCCCACGGGCGGAGTTCTGCACCCAGTGCATCTTTTATTCTCTCCAGTATGACGTGACTCAGTATTTGACTTGGCCTGGACGAGAGCATTATTTCACGCGAGTTCTTGCAGAGGCCTAGGTGGCTCTTCTTTGGCAGCTTGACAAGATAGCCTTTCTTCCAATCGGTAGGCGGCGTCCTTCTTTCCAAATTTTTTGCAGTAATGGCGTGAGAACATCTGCCGCAGTCTCTGGGTCCGTCTTCAGTGGTTCGATGGAATTCCATCTGATCCTGCTGCATTCCTGCCCAGTGTTCAGTTGCTTGATCACATTCAGGATTTCTCCTTTCTTTGGGGCATTGGTGTCCACTGACAGGCAGTGCTGGGCGTGCTGTTGGTAGTGGTGTATTTCTGGGTGAGTTGCAGGTGGTGGTCGATTCAGGAGCCCTTTGAAGGGATCAGTCCATTGTTTTATCCGTTTCTCTACTTTGGTATTCAGGTTCCCTTGAGCATCTTTTATTGGTTTAATCATCTGGGTTGATCTCTTCCCAGATAGAGACTAGGTTATCTGATATAATGTTCTGAGGTCTCCTTCACCTGCGGCCTGTTCTGCTTCATTGTTCGGCCAGTGTGTCATAGAATTGTCTTTTCTATTTCCTAGCACTCCTCTTCACTTATTTATTCAGGGCAGTGTACAATGAACTCAGCTTCTCCTTCTGTTGTGCATCTTTGTCTTCAGTCATCACCATTCTGTTTCATCCTCCTCCCCTCCTCTCTTCAGTTAGCTTCCAGGTAGGCGTCCGTTGAGATCCATTCCTTGTTTTGTCTCTTCTTTCTTCCTAGAACAGTTGTACACGTTTCTTTGAACATCACCTTTCAGAGAGCCAGTTCCAATATTCTTCCACGCAGGCTTCCTCAGTGATACCACGTGGTGTCTCCGACTTCGCTCTGATCTGACCAGTTTCTGAATGTTGAACTTGAATTACAGCGGCCTGTCTGCAGTTGTTCTGAGTATTTCAGCTTCACCTTGAGGGTTCCTTGAACTAGATGATGGTCTGAGCCCACACCTGCTCCCCTTCTCGACTTTGTGTTCAGCAGGCTATCTGCGTCTCCTCATTCTTGAGCAGTATTGAGATGAAGTCTATCTGGTTTGTGGTGTGTCTGTCAGATGAAATCCATGTTGCTTTGTGTATATTCATGCGTTTGTACACGCTCACTCCGATTACCGAATCATTGAAAGCTCAGAAGTTTGCGAATAATTCTCCGTTCTCATTCATTTCGCCTAGCCGGAGACTCTTGACCCATGATGAGCTCAATTCTTGTATTATCTGCTCCCAGTTCGGCTTAAATTCATATCGCCCATGAGGATTTTTATTTCATCATTCGGGATGTTGTCCACTACTGTTTGTAGTTATCTGTAAAGATCTTCCTTCTTCTCTTGTTCCGCGTAGTTTGTAGCACTGTGCGTAGCATTGGATAATTGTGACATTCCTTCCTTTATTTTGAGTTGAACCTTGCTGTCATGATCCTTCAGGAGGAGATTGGTTCCCACTGTATTAGGGCTTTGGCTGCCACTGATGACATCATTATAGCCACTTACTACCTCAGTGTTTTGGTGGTTGTCGTCTGAGTAGCCAGAGTAGATTAATGACTCTCCAGTTGACAATTTGAATAATCCACATCCGTTCCATCTGCTTTTGCAGATACCCAGCACTTCTATGCAAAATTTTCTCATTTCTTTGTCTACCTGGGCAGCCTTTCGAGCCTCGCAAATTGTGCGGATATTCCACGTCTCCAATCCTGTGAGGGCAACTACATAGGTCAAACTAGCAGATCAGAAGTTGTGAGATTATCAGAACATAAGAATTTAGCTAAGGTTACAATGATTGATCCCACGAAGATAAGTAATTTAGAAAAAAAACTCAGCAATAGCACTACATGCATTAACACACAATCACACAATAGGGTGTGTGGGACAGAGTCAAAATTACAAAAATTAATACAGCTAGGTGGAGAGAGAGACTGATTGCTGAATCCAGGTTCATCGAGTCTAAACCCAACACATGCAACAGAAGGAACTCAACACAAATACCAGAGGTATGGAAGATATTATTATCAGTCAAATCGGAGAATAATAAATAGGGTTAAAATGTATTCAATTCATACTAGAACATTCTACTTATTTTTGCATCATATTTCCCATCTGATTGTATTTCCTTGATAACACTAATATTGTTTCTGAATCTATATTATCTTATATTGGTTTTTTATTCAAATGTCTAGTCAATTTCACTCATGTATATAAATGAAGTAAAAAGTTGTATGAGTGACTTGATATGATTATGAGCAATAATTTGTGCTCGAAACGTCATCAGTTAATATTACTGTGTAACACTGTGTGATTTATCAAAGTAAAATCTTATCCATAATGGAGTTACACTCTACCACAGTGCCCAAGTTTTATACTTATATTGTGTGGGTTATCAAAATAAAATCTTATCCACAAGTGAGTTATACTCTACCACAGTGGCCAAGTTTTATGCTAATATGAATAACAGTCAGGCTGATTAAAATACATTCACTTAGATAAAACGTGGCTTCCATTAATAAAGTCTCTAACTTTTGGTTTGAGTCATGTAGGAAGGCGTAGACTGCCTGGCTGCATTCCTCAAGACGCTATAAACCAGCGGCTAGTGGAATGGTTCACAATCAATCTCAGAGTACTTGTCAATTCACTCTTTTTAATCTCATACATTCATCAAATCTTCATTATTCTGCATTCAGTAATTGTTTCATTATATTTCCTTTCTATTAATTTTTCACTGTACATTTATACATGCTTTTATGAACTGTGGAACTTTTGTGTAAGGTTCTACATTGGAAATTCATTTTCAGTTCGCATCATGATTTGTGGCTCAGATGAATGTGTCCTTGGTGTTGTAGATTGACGTTTTGTACAAAGCATTTAATTGATGTAAAGGTTTCTGATCATAGTTCCAATGTATAAAAAAGCAGTGAGTGGAGATTCGGAAATGTGAAGTTTGGAATCAATTATTAACCATGAATTTGTATGTTTTACAATTCAGTATGCACATACGTTGACAATATAAACAAACTGACTGACAGTTTAGGATACATGTTTTTGTATAGTTTCTCTATATTACATTTGCTTATCATCAGATCATTAATACACTTTACATTATGACTCCTGATATGATCAACATTACAGAAATGAACATGAAAACAATTTATTATCCACAGCTGCATGCAGTGAAGCTCATATGACAAAGTAAAATGTATTATAGTAATAACCTTTACTATTTATTGTATGAAATTCAAAAAGTTCACTGTACACACATTAATAAGGATGCAGTAATATCTTGGAACTTAGATTCCCTTACTGCTTTATAATCGCTATATTTTTTAAAATTCTAG